CATTTGATAAAAAAATATTTACTAATAAATTTAAAATATAAATATTATCAATTTAATTTATTTTCTTCTACAAGTTTAGAAATTAATATTACTCCAAAATACAAGTTCAGGAATTTTTAGGGTTTTTTCCCTTTTATTTTTGTCAAACTATCACTAATTTATTTTAATACCCAACAATCCTTTTTGTTTATTATAATACATCGACTTTCATAAAAAAAAATATATGATAAGAATATATATGTTTTATTAAGCGATGATGTCACGCCTTAAATATAATTATTTATGTATTTTAATATTCGATTTCAATTTAGATATCTTTTAAATAGATGCTATACAGAAATACATGAGATTTTGAAGTATATTCTTATCATGGTATATTTAAGCATATCATGGCGTTTACCCTTTCCTTAAACCACGATTACAAGTAATGACATCGTTTTTATTTTTTTAATGAATTTTTGAAAACCATCAATTCAACTATATGGCGGATTACCCAAGAGACCGTAGCCGAGTCGTATAGCTGGTGAGAGGAGGTGGGATGTCTCTGTCCTAACTAGATCCCACGTTCGAGCCGCGGGTCGCGGGTTGGAGAGGAGATACGTAATTTAATTGCGAGATATAAAGATTACCTCCGGACCGTGAGAGATATAGTCGGGACAAATACCCCATGAACTCCCTAGTTAAAAAAAATTATATGGCTGATTTTGACAGATCTTTAAAAATATAACAGAATTAAAAAAAAGGTCATGGTACATTTAATTTATAAAAAATCATTAGTCCAATAACTATGAATTACAAAGAATAATTATTCATTCGGAAAAATTTGAAATCATATAATACTATTTTTCTCTTTTCTATATAGACTACATTTTTAGCCAATTGGAGGCCATTCCTTCGATCGACTGATTTCAATATCGGCTAGACCCGGCCTCTTTCCATGCAGAAAATGCATTACAATCCATATTATAAAATAAACTATACGTTATTATAATTAAGTTTATAACCTAAATAAAAGTTTCTATATAATTTTTTTTTTATAAAAAAATGTATTGGCTAAAATTACCGTGGGCGTAGTTCTTCCATAATCCATGTTATAACAGGATCGACAGTCAAATTATAACATAATATTATCGTTGGTAATCGAGTACATAACTAGACAAAAAAGTTTCTAATAATATAAAGAATATAATTTCTAATAGAATAAAAAAAATATAAACTAAATAATAAAAATAATAATATGTGAACCGTACATAAATTATACTCTACTTATTAATATATTAAGTAAACCACAATTTGACTAATAATTTAAGTACATCTAATATTCGTTTAATTCATTTTGGAAATTACATCGTAAAAATATAAAATGAGTATACATCATCATACATACATACATACATACATACATACATACATACATACATACATACATACATACATACATACATACATACATACATACATACATACATACATACATACATACATACATACATACATACATACATACATACATACATACATACATACATACATACATACATACATACATACATACATACATACATACATACATACATACATACATACATACATACATACATACATACATACATACATACATACATACATACATACATACATACATACATACATACATACATACATACATACATACATACATACATACATACATACATACATACATACATACATACATACATACATACATACATACATACATACATACATACATACATACATACATACATACATACATACATACATACATACATACATACATACATACATACATACATACATACATACATACATACATACATACATACATACATACATACATACATACATACATACATACATACATACATACATACATACATACATACATACATACATACATACATACATACATACATACATACATACATACATACATACATACATACATACATACATACATACATACATACATACATACATACATACATACATACATACATACATACATACATACATACATACATACATACATACATACATACATACATACATACATACATACATACATACATACATACATACATACATACATACATACATACATACATACATACATACATACATACATACATACATACATACATACATACATACATACATACATACATACATACATACATACATATAATAAGGGTAAAACTCCTAAAAAACCTCCAACTTGCAAAAATATATACAAATAAACCTTGAACTTGAAAAACTATCATTCAATCCCCGAA